CTTCTGAATCAGCTACTGTTTTGTTATTAGTTTAAGTATGAGCGAGAGCGCGCGAGAGAGCGAAAGAGAGAGCACGAGAGAGCGAGAGAGAGAGAGAGAGAGAGAGAGCGCGAGAGAGCACATACCAGCTTCATCACTGTGTCTGTCACGCGACTCTGTTCCCCTTTCGGGCTCTGTCTTTACATTTATTTTGAAAGATGAAGCTCGCGATTATGGTAAGGGGCTTTACATTTCCGACGAGTGCTTGCGGTGTTCGGCCAATCACAATGCACTGGGTCAGCTGGCCAATCAGAGCAGACTGCGCTTGTCAAAAGGAGGGACTTTGTAGAAAATGAAGCGTTTGAGAGAGGCGGGGCATAGAGGACCTACAATAATGTACAGTATTTGAAAAATAATGTGTTTTTTGAACATTAAAGCATGCCAACATATTCTGTTACACAAAATAATGATCTTTAAAAAAGCATCGTATGACCCCTTTAAGGAGAGCCACAACACTTAAACTGCCCGCTAGTAGAGAGTCTTTCTTTACAAATACGCGTGGTTAACTAGGTTTTCAAGCGAAAATCAAAACCCAAGAGGCCAAAGGAGAAAGCCTTTCTCCCTTTGATAATAAACAAAACAAAACTCAACTCAACTTTCAAGCCACACTTTTAAAGTATAGTCTCTCAATAGTGACACTCATTCAATAATCACAGTCATTCCGTCAACAATATTTTCCATCACTAAAAGCTAAAAACTGAGTGCTTTTTAAAGGCTCTCAGTAACACGTATTACCCGATATCACTAATTAGCCCAACCCACATCAATTAGCTAATTTCAAACAGAACCAGACAAGGGTGTCAGAGAGAAAAGAGTGCTCTAAAAAATAAACCCATGCTGCTCAAGCTCGAGCTGACATAATAAATGTTTAATGCTTTAAAAAAAAAAATCAAAGGTTTAAATCTCAGATTTTTAATGTGTGAGATGTGTATACTTCATATTACATAAACTGTCAGGAATGATTTTCAGTTTTTTTTCCTTTCATTCAGAATCACATGCTGTTTGCTTTTGAGTGTCATGACACCTGCGGCGTCCTCAGCGTGCATGCCATACCGGGAATTCTGGGATGGTTTGCTCATTTATTTCTACGGCTGGCCAGTAATGAGAGCACAATGTAAAACATTTTTCCATAAAATGGCACTAAAGCATATGGTCCACTCCTTTTATGTTGACTGTGTTGTATCTGTGTTCTCAGAGCGGTGCAGTTCGCTGTCTATCACATCTGTGTTCTCCTCATAACGGCGTGCATGAGTCTGGTGATGGGCACAGCTACAGGTACAACACCCCATTGCATTCACACTAAAGATCATTAGAACAGACCATTTGCTTGTGCTTCTTGTGTTTTGAATAAACCATCAAAAGATCAGCATCTCACACTGTAAAAAAAAAAAAGTCAAAAAGGTCACAGGAGTACATTTTACATGAAAATACCATTTCAGTCTTTCTAGTTTTTTTTATGTTTAACTCATTGTTGCTTGCGGTTTCTTTGTAATTATTTGTGAAATTTACTAGCACTTTCTGAGTGATTCATTTATGTATTTATTATTCAGCTTAGGCTGGTTTACACTGTTTTCTAGTGCATACATTGATATGTAGGGGAGATTGGGGACGGTTTCGACACTTTTTGCATTTCATTCAGTTTCTCAGCGAGGGTTTGTATTGGAGAGTGAAAATTTTAATACAATAAAGTCACATCTGTCAGCTGATGTGTACATATGATAATATACCTACAATTTATACTTGAATAGACAAAGTCAAATGTTACAACTGACCCCATAACAGGGGATGGTTGCAACAGTCCACATGGGGGCAGTTGCAACATTCATTAAAATGTAATTAAAATCACTCTTAAATATAATTTCTTTATTTTATCTGTGCACAGATAGGGTCTTCAATAAGTTAAACTGGCTGTGTAAAAACAAAGAATAGAATGGGGGGGGGGGGTTTAAGAAAAAAACATGTTTTGA